ATTATATCTGTACTAAAATTTAAAATCTATTTTGTATACATGAAACATAAAATTTTATAAACTATTATATTCTGACAGATTTAATATATTATAGCAGTCTATTAATGCTTCAACCAAAACCAAAATACATGATCTAATAACAAAACATAAAAAAATACCCGTCTATCTTTTGAAAAAAATTCTTCCAACTAGTAGATACCTTTTTTTATTTTACATTACGATAAACTAATACTTTAAATAATTAGTTATAAAAGACAGAAACATCCAAGTACATGACTTCTACACTTTTTTATGTATTGATATGATCCTATAATAATAAACGACTCTAGTGCTAGTAACATAATCCATAAGTAAAATAAACCATAAACAACAAATATATGTATACAACACAATTAACTAATAAAACCACAAACCAAAAAAATGTCATTAAAAAAATAACAAAACATAATGTTTTACTATATTTGTAATATAATAACACAAATAAAACAACATAAGGCATAAATGAAACAGATAAATAGTAACAAAAAAAAAAGAAAAAAGTAAAATAAGAGAAAATAAGGAAAGTTAAGAAGCAAAATCCAAACTTAAAAGTTACCTTGTACATAAAAAACGAAAACAATAAGCTCTACTAATAACCATAACCTACACATAAATAAATAAATTGAGTAATTAATCAACAACATAATTTAATAGTTATTGATGGGAAAAAGAAAAAAATAGGTATTGTTAAACTTACTACGAATGAGAAAAAAAAAACAAAATAGTAAATAATGGAACAAATTCTAAACCTATATAAAGTCAAGTACTTTAGTAAAATCAAGATCAAAATTTTTTTTAACTTTTAACTATAGAAATAGCAAAATCTCATGCTAAATTCGTAAAAAAAAATGTAAAATGGATATACATACAATCATATATCTAAATGAACATCTTTCAAGTATAAATAAATCAACTAATGAAATTAAATATTGTAAACAATGTTCAAATGTAGTAGGCAAAGTAACTAATTAACATAGTTTAATTGGTGTTGTCAGCTTTTTTCTCTAAAAATGAATATGAAACATGAAGGCATTGGAACAATATCTCTACTAAAATTTGAAAATTTATTTTGTATACATGAAACATGAATATTTTATAAACTATCCTATTATGATAAATTTGACATATTATAGCAGTTTATAATGATCGAACCAAAGCCAAAATACATGATCTAATAATAAAACATAAAAAAATACCCTTTCATGTTTTGAATAAACTTTTTCAACTAAAAGATACATCTTTTATTTTACATTATGATAAATTAACACTTTAAATAATTAGTTATTAAAGACAGAGACATCCAAGTACAAAACTTCTACACATTTTTATACATTGATATGATCTTATGATAATAAATGTTTCTAGTGCTACTAATAGAATCAATAAGTAAAGATAATAACTTACTGTAAATAATTAACAACAAATATATGCATACAATATAATTAACTAATAAAACCATAAATAAAAAAAAGATATTAAAAAAATAGCAAAACATAGTGTTAGACTATTTTTGTAATCCAATAACACAAATAAAATAATGTAAGGCATAAATGAAACAAATAAATACTAACAAAGAAAAGAAAAGAAAAAAAATAAAATAAGATAAAATAAGGCAAGTTGAGAAGCAAAATCTAAACTTAAAAGTTACCTTGTACGTAAAGAACCTAAACAACAAACTCTACTAACAACCATAACCTACATAATTTAATGGTTATTGATGGAGGAAAAATATACTGTTAAACTTACCATGAATGAAGAAAATGGAGAAAAAAACATAACAATAAATGAGAAAATAAATTCTGAACATATGTAAAGTCAAGTACTTTACCTAAACCAAAATAAAAAAACCTCTTAACTCTTAACTATAGAAATAGCAAAATTTCATACTAAATCCGTAAAAGAAAATGTGAAATGGATATATATAATTATGTATCTAAATGAACATCTTCCAAGCATAAACTAATCATCTAATGCAATTAAATATTGTCAACAATGTTTAAATGTAACAGGTGAAGTAGCTAACAAACATACTTTAGTTGGTGTTGTTAATTTCTTTCCCTAAACATGAATGTGAGACTTGAGGGCATTGGAACAATATCTATACTAAAATTTGAAAACTTATTTTGTATAAATGAAACATGAACATTTTATAACCTATACTATTATGATAAATTTGACATATTATAGCAATCTACTAATATGCCAACCAAAGCCAAAATATATGATGTAATAACAAAATATCAAAAATTATCCTTTCATCTTTTGAAGAAACTCTTTCAATTAAAAGATACCTCTTTTATTTTACATTATGATAAGCTAATACTTTAAATAATTAGTTATAAAAGACAAAAACATCCAAGTATAGGATTTCTACACATTCTTTATGCACTGATATGATCCTCTAGTAATAAATTATTGATTATAATCAAAGTTAATTTTTATCATGAACATGAAATCCACATTTTTTCCTGCTAATCATGGTAGTTTCCTTAGAACAATGAATTGCTTGTGTTTAACTCTCACCTAAAACATTATTATAATAGTAACATTTGAAAACCTAAAACCTGTATATAAACATAAACTTTCTTTTATTTTTCAAAACTAATTACAAAACCCTAAAAATCTTTCTCACCTCTTTTAATAAATTTCTCATATATATTTTTTATCAATACATTAATCAATGGAGAAATTACTATAAAAAAATAAAAATACACTAATCTCAAATTTTAATATCCACGAAATTTGACAAAACTCTGAGGCAAACAAAAATGAAAAAATGAATAAAAAACAAATTGACAACTTTATACAAACAAAATGTAAAACAAAAAGCTAATAAAAAAAACCAAAATTATGCAACAGGAAAACTTTGATAGCAAAGCATTGGCAATAAAAATCTTGTAAGCCAAATTTTTCTCTAAAAGAAAACTTTAATAGTAGAAATAGATTGTACGAAACATAAAAAATAATTTTGAGTAATTTCTTTAATAATAGAGGATGAACAGTAACAGACCCAAAAGATAAATTTGTGTCTTAAACTTTTATGTTAAGAATTAAAAAACCTAAACCTTATTCAATATAAGAACATACAATAGGAAAACCAGGTCAACAAAACCCAAAAAAAAAAAAATAAACACATTCAATTAAAGAAGAAAAAAAAGAATAACAAACTTGACCAAAAAATATGAAAAGAAAATCTGGAACACCAATGAAAACCCAAAAATAAAATAAAAAAAACCTAATTTTCGTCAAAGATCAAAACATGCAAATAAAAATAATAAAAAAGAAAACATATTAAAAACAACATGCACAACAAAAACACCTAAAGAAAACTAATATATATATATATATATAGGCTCAATTAAAAAAAAAAAAAAAAACAACAAATTCTAGCAGAAAAAATCAACAAAAAATTTCAAGAGAAAAAAAACATTTTCACACACCACACTTTCTTAAAAGCTTTAGAACAACAATGAAAACATATACAAAAAAGCTTCCAAATTAAACTTTAAACAATAAAACTTTTTGAGTCAAAAACAGTTGTCAAAAAAAATAAATACAAAAGACACCTGTAAAAAGAAAAACAAAACAAGTGTAAGAAATAAAAAAAACTTATACTCAATCTTACGAAAGCCATAAACCCCTATACACTTTTTTCCTTTTCCTAAAATGACACGAGACTAATAAAAAAAAACATGTGTCCTCTTAAGAAACCTCATGAAACCCTTTTTATATAAGTGTGTATAGATATTCTAAGCTTTAATGTTAAAAGTCATTATTGCTTTCTTTATTTTACCTGTTTATTTTCTTTATTTTTTTTCTTTGGAGCTTAGTTATACGTATATTCTAAGCTTCAATGTTAAAAGTCATTATTGCTTTCTTCATTTTACCTACTTATTAACTAAGTATTGTAGTGGATGGTATCTTGTAAGAAAAAACTTAGATAAAATTTTTTAGGTGAAGTTTTAGAATTTTTTTTATTAGAAATTAGATTTGATAATTTAAGACACGATACTGTGATATCAATATGAATACAATATAAAAAAAATAAAACGTGATACGATTTAAAATTTTAGTAATAATTATATACGACTTAAATAAACAAAAAATGTATTTTATATTTTTGTATAGATATAATTTATGACATATAATTTTCATATAAAACACAATATGAATACATAAATTTTAGTATTTTACATGATATGAATACATAAATTGTTAGGTCTACTAGAAATAATGAAATAAATAATAAAATTAAAAATCAAAACTGATAGATTGAAAGCTCTTGTTATATAGATTAAGTTTGCAAATTTTGAAAATATTTTAATAAATTTTGATATATTTTTTAGATAAATATTCTTAATAAAAATATTGATAAAATTTTTACTATTAAATAAATATTGAATAAATTTCTATTATAAATGATACTTTTAATAATTCTTTTACATAGTATTAATCTCCTCATAGTATTAATCTTCCTATTAAACTCTATCAATTTATTAATATAAATTTTTTATTAAAATTTTTGTTAAATCATTTTAATAAAAAAAATTTACAAACTTTACTTAAAAAACTTCATCTAACTTAGATTCAATGGGTTAAAGTGATGGAGATATAGGAATTATATTGATATTTTATAAAAAAAATATATTAGTGACTCTGTATTTTGGAGGAAAACTTTATTTGGATCATATGTAGTTAATTAGTAGAAAATAAAAATGATGATCAAATAAAGATTAAGCTTAATTACAATTAAAATATCTCGAGCTTGTGGTAATATGAACGATTGTCTTGAACATGGGTCCTGATTTGGTTAACATGTTGCAAACTTTAAATTAATTAATGTGAGTTAACAACATGGCCAAATTAAGATTACTAAAAACTGGTGACTCATTTAGCAGAAATTGAAACTACTGACCCAAAATGGAAATATTTCGGATTTCGGAGACAATTAATGGTCAGTTGAATGCCGATCGATTCAATTTACTGTTTTTAAAGTGTGGCTGACAAGAGTGAAAAGTAAAGTTTCACCTGGGTGAGCCCCAGCAGTTTTCCAAGTCCATTTGGGCGAAATTCATAGCCAGGCCTAGCTTGAATTCAAATTTTTTATTTTTTAGAAAAAGAGTTTTGAAAAGCGATGAAACCACTTGGGTGTGACTACCGTCATATCAGCACTTTCTCACCACCGTAGATTCTTAAAAAGATCAAAGTCATATGTTGACCCTACTAGAAGGACCTGACAAGACCAGAACTGACCACGTGTTATTTTATCTAGTCTGTCAATGGTTTGTTTTTCACGGGCTGTGACGATAGTTTTACCTTGATACCAAGAGCACCCGACAAAGCAAATCCAGGCCAGGCCATAAAATCGAGCTTCCCACCCCTGGCTCTTTACAGCTCTCTCTTCGCTTCCAACATGAAGTATTCAAAAGAAATGAAATTCTCTTAAAAGCAAAACCAAAAAATAGTTACGAAATTGCATTAACTGCTAGTACTACTAGTTAAAATCATTTGTTATTTCTAAAAATGGTTTCGCTGGAAGATTCTCACTCCAATTCAAACCGGTTCCCGTTGGGTCGAAACTTCTACACGCCAGGTACAGCTTCGACCACCAAAATCCACCGACACACGGGCCGTTCCATGCGTACGATACGCTCCAATCTCTACCAAAACGATAACAGCAGCTGCTCCTTCACCAGCTCCGTTCCTGAAAGGTCTGGATTTGTCTCCGAAAATCTCACCGAATCCGTTATCGACATGCGTCTCGGGGAACTAGCTTCCAAAAGCAACACCAAATCGATTAAGTCCGAGTCAGAAAACGAGGACTTTTTGGACATTTCTCAAGCCTTCAGTGATTTCTCCGCTTGTAGCAGCGATATCTCTGGTGAGTTGCAGCGCCTAGCGAGCTTGCCCTCAACTGAAAACGCGTTGATAAATGAGAGCAGCAATCGAGCCGAGTCCGAGCCGGAGCCGGAGCCGTGTCACGGCTTTCTACAGAGAGAGTATTTCTCGACAGAAATTATTGAGAGTATTTCGCCAGAGGATCTTCAACCCACAGTGAAGATCTGCATCGACGGTCTACAATCACCGTCCGTTGCGGTGAAACGATCGGCTGCGGCAAAGCTCAGGCTACTAGCGAAGAACCGCGTGGATAACCGTGCGTTAATCGGAGAATCCGGTGCGATCCCTGCTCTGATTCCACTCCTACGAAACAGCGATCCTTGGACTCAAGAGCATGCAGTGACTGCGTTACTAAATTTGTCACTTTTCGAACCGAACAAAGTCCTAATTATAAATGCTGGAGCTATAAAGTCATTAGTGTATGTTCTCAAGACAGGAACCGAAACCTCCAAGCAAAACGCGGCTTGTGCACTTCTGAGCTTAGCTTTGATTGAAGAAAACAAGACTTCCATTGGAGCATGCGGGGCAATCCCGCCACTGGTATCTCTTCTGATGAATGGATCCAACAGAGGGAAGAAAGATGCACTGACAACCCTTTATAAGCTGTGTTCGGCCAGGCAGAACAAAGAAAGGGCGGTCAGTGCCAGTGCAGTTAGGCCTTTGGTGGGGATGGTGGGAGAGCAAGGGACCGGGATGTCAGAGAAAGCGATGGTTGTTCTTAGTAGCTTGGCAGGAATTAAGGAAGGAAGGGAAGCTATTGTGGAGGAAGGTGGGATTGCGGCATTGGTGGAGGCGATTGAGGATGGATCTGTCAAGGGGAAGGAGTTCGCAGTGTTGACACTGTTGCAGTTGTGTACTGATAGCATTAGGAATCGTGGTTTGCTTGTAAGGGAAGGTGGGATCCCTCCTCTTGTGGCGCTTTCTCAGATCGGGAGTGTTAGGGCTAAGCATAAGGTAATTTTAGTTGATGTTGATTGTCTTGTGTTTGAATGAAGATATTGAAATGCGTTTCTGGATGTACCTTACTTCTTCGATTGTTTGCCGGAGGATAAAGTTGAATGCTTGATAATCACTACATGGTAGATAGCGTGTTTCTAATACCTACACGGTTATTAAGTAGATAGTTGATTGAATTAATTGATTGATTAAACATCCTTAATTATTAAGACGTTGCTCATGGATTAACAGAACTGAGCGTTGTCCAGAGTTGCTGAGTTGTTGTTATCTACGCCATAAATTTTAACATATATCTCACGTAGAATGCCGAGTTTGCATCAGTTGTATCCATGCATTTATATATTCAACATTAAGTAATTTTTTCTTCATATTGAGAATTGAGGTTTTTTTAATGTTAATTTTGCAGGCTGAAACGCTTCTCGGGTATCTGAGAGAACCAAGACAAGAAGCTTCATCATCCAGTCCTTAGAGAAGAGAAGTTTAATTACTCATAGAGGTAATTATACTAGGTTATTATTATTTTTGTATATAGGGAGTGTTTAGATGGTTTGTACAGTGTGGTCGAGAAATTTGGCAGAATGATTGTGCAAGTAAAAATGAAAAATTAGGGGAGGCTAGTGTGCAAGAGACTGACATTTAGATGTATGATTTTGGCTATGTTATATTTTCCCTCTTATTGACTTATATTTTGATGGGGGGAATAATTGTTTGGCTTGTGGGTTTTGGGCTGATTAGATTTGGGTTATTTTCCTTATGTTTTGTTTAGGTAACCCAAATTCCATTGCATAGGTCTACTGAGTACTGATTACCTGTTTTCTGCATGGTGAAGATGAAGAGTATGTTGATATGCTCTGCCTCTGAGCATTTTTTTTTTTTTTAATTTTTCTCATCGCATCTTTGTAGCTTGAGCTTTATGTAAAGGAAACAATTGTGTTAGATTTGCAAAAAGTTATCTAAATGTCACATATCATAAACCTTTTTGTTCGTGTACTTTTCTTGATCATCTCTTTGCTGCTGCAGATGCAGAAGTAAACTGCTCTGTCTAATAGATATTTTTCCTTAAGTTCTTTGTTGTTCGATAAATGCCCATAGCATGTTTATGCAACATCTGCTTCATACAGAATGCAGGAGGTATGGTTCAATATCTGGATTTCTTTCCTTTCCCACAAATTTCCCAGCTGCCAATGGGAATTATGATTATTGTCGAGGGATTGAATATAGCTTTAGGTGGATGCATGTTGTGGCATGGTAGGGTCCTTGATCTGCTCCTATTTGGTGTAAAGTAGTTAATCTGCTGGGTGCTACCATCACCATTTGTCTGTCCTACTTGCATACATCTAGCAATGGCCACCAACCGGTTCATCCCCACCACAGATACATATATTGAAATTTGTATGAGAGCAAAACTTTCTTTTTCATTCTTTGTCGTTATTAAACATGCATTAGCTGGCAGAGCAGGTGTGTTTTGTCCCACTGTGTGAAGGATTGTCATTCCGTAGTCAAATTTATGAATTCAAGTAATAATGAGACCAAGTGTCGGCATCCGTTGGTTAAGATGCTTGTCTTGGATTGCTCAAGCGTTGTCAGTTTCTACCGAGTCCAATGGCAAAAATTCCATGACATGATATATTTCTTCATGGAACAGAGATGGGCTGCGGCCCTGCATATTCATCATTTTATTGACATGCTGAGCTTCAAGTGCTAACGCCACCATACAGGTTGTTCTTGGGTATGGTGGGAACTGGGAAAGGACAAACTCCAGTCCCAGCAAAACGGAGCTGCTTTAAAGAGAGAAGAGGAACTGAAGAAGAGGAGTAATACTGGAGGCAAGAAGTATTAAAGTCTGTAAAGCCTTTCATGAGTAAATTTTATCATTGATCACTAAATTTTCATCAAATTTTCATTTAGGTTAATTAAATTTTAATTTGTTTTAATAAAGTCATTGAACTTTGTAAATTGTATCAAATTTAATTATTTTAATAGATTTTAGTCAAAAAAAATTAATGAAAAAAATACAAGTTGACTATTTTAGTTCTCACATTAACTATCACATCAATATTTTTTTTTATGCTTTTCACATTAGCAATTTTAGACAAAAAATTAAAAGAAATTTCACTAAAAGATCTTTTGCTTATCATTGTTTTTACTTTAATATATCTTAGTTTTTACTTTAATATCATCAAAACAATTATAGCCACCACAATTTTTTGCCGCATTGAGTGATTACTTATTTTGCAGTCACATTGTTATATAATTTTTTTATTTTTAAATGAAATTTATTAGAATGATAAGATTTTTTTTATTAATTTTGAATGAAATGATGATAACATTTAATATAATTAATAAAGTTTAGTTATTGTATTAGGATAAATTAATATTTAAATAAAATTTTGAAGGATAAATTTCAAAAATATATTTTATGATTAAAATCAAAATAAAATATTTTTTAAGATTAAAATATAATACTTAACTATTTTAAATTTTTTATTGTTTTTATCTAAAATCGTTACTGTTTTTATTTTTTTTATCTGAATTCATATTCTCTTCTTAAATATTTATATTCTCTCTAAAAACTTCTTCTTCTCTTTCTAAAATCAAATTAATTCTCCTTTTAAACCCATATCAATTCACAAACAGTAATTTTAAGCCATAAAAAAATATTTATTTTATTGCCAACAAACAGGAAGCTGTCAGGAATCGACTCAATCTAGAAAGCCAAAATTCACAAAGCAAGCAGTAAAAAATTCACAAACAAAACCTCACCAGAACAACTCAGAAACAAATCAGAATTCTAGCAAACAATCTTAAAGAAAAATCCACTATCAGAAATTCAGTCACAGAAACAAAAAATTACCACCCAAGCAATAAAACAGAAAATTACAACAAAGTTATGAGATTTAGGGTTCGATCTCTTAAGATTTATTCTTATAAACAGAGGGAAGAAGCATTACTGGTATAAAAGGAGTAGAAGAAGAAGTCCTCAGTGGTCTTGGCAAGGTAACAGACACTGGCTGAGGTAATGGGATGTTAGCAATTTTTGGGTTTTTTGGTTCTGATTTGGTGTAGTTCTTAAGAGTTTGAAAGTAGTTGAGAAATTTAAAAAGTGGTAGCAATTTTTATTTTGTGTTTTGACCTAGGTTTGTGCTGGAGACTTGGAAAATTCTAAAAGAAGAAGAAGAAAAGAGAAGAAGAGGATTTGTTTGAGGCTTTCGAAAACTACTGAATAGCGCACGGTGGGTGGACAGCAGGAGGTGAGCCGTAGATCAACTCCAATTTTTGGATTGTTAATTTTTTGTATTCAAAGTTTGAAAGTTTAAAGAGAAGGAATCCAATTTCTGGGTGGTTAATTTTTTTTGTTTAAGGTTCGGAAGTAAAGAGAGGGAATGTGAAGAATTTTCGATGTTGTAAGAGTTTTTTAGTGGTTTGAAGGATGTTGTTAATGAGTTGGTTTAGGTTTAAAGAGATAATTGATTTGATTTGAGGGAGGGAATGAATTTTAAGAGAGAGAATGAATTCATATGAAAAAAATAAAAAATGAAAAAAAAATAGTTTTGGATAAAAAAAATAAAATAAATCATAAAATATCTAAATTTTACGTTTAAACATTAGGGGCACTTTTATTTTAGTTTTATAAGATATACCTAAGAAATTTATCTAATTTTAAATAAAATTTAATGACCGATATTAACGAAATGTACTGACCGGTAATAATCCGCAATTGCAGCATGTTGCCTTCGTATTTCCAATGGTAACTAGTTAAATATTTATGGCACAAAAATAAGTATCCCTGTTCGGAAGGCTCCTCTAAATTGTGAAGAATAGGTTTTCGTTTTAATTCCTCGTTACCTATTTACTACTATGCACATCATAAGCCACACAATAAAATATAACGCGCGTATATAATAAACCAAGAAATCTCTGTAGAAGTAAATGCTATAGAAATTGTCGCTGCCGTATTTATTTCATCATTAATACGATTGCAACTGAATTGCAAGGTTATCAATGAAAGTAAAACAAACAGCCACAGGGAGGGCCTTCAACAAAAATATACTTCCGCCTAGGCAGGTTCGGACTCACCCTTTGACATTTTCCTGAATGCTTTCCGCTTGAAACCAGTTTTCAGCATCCGCTCAACCTCTTCGAACTGCAGTCCTTTGGTTTCAGGTACAAACCAGTAGATGCAAATAAGTCCAATCACGCAAACTGCAGCAAACAGGAGGAATGTGCCAGAGGAACCCAGAGCTTTTGTCAAGGTTAAAAATGTCTCGCTGACAATGAGATTGGAGACCCAGTTAGAAACTGCAGCCATTCCTCCGCCAATACCTCTGTACCTAAGTGGGTAAATCTCAGAGTTCACAATCCATGGGACAGTTCCCATTCCAGGGGAGTACGAAATGATATACAATCCTAGGAGAACGACTGCCAGAAATCCGATTCTGCTCGGGCAACCATCCTTGAACCAAGTACGATGTTGTCCACGACACGAATTCTTTAGATCTGTGGTCAATGCCAAGCATGCTCCGGGAGAATACTGAACAAAGAAAAGAATATATAAATCAATCAAATTTAATTGGTTTAAAGTTTAACAACAATCAAACTCAAAGGTCATTGCTGCTATGGATTTATTTATTACTTAACGTAATTATGGAGTTATCAAATGTCTGCTAATAGTAATTTAGGATTCTTTTTATACCTGCAACCAATAGTGAGGTTGGAAGTGAGACAATATTGGATTGATTAATGAGTGAAAAAGGAAAATATACTTACTTCATTTACCCCATTAGCACAGAAACCACACTCAGCTTTCAAGCAAGACAAACAGTTCCATGATGCTGGATTAACAGCTGAGACAAAACTAGGACATGTAGCATTTGAAGCAAAGTGCATGGATTCGAACTGGTCAACTTTTGGAGAATGGCTGGCAGCCTGAGAGAACACGATCGATAACGCTGCAAGGCAAGTGATGATTCCTATCATAGAAATAATCATCATCCTTCTCCTGCCATATCTGTCAACAAAAGTCATGCTGGCAATAGAGCCAATAGCATTAAGACCAGAAGTTATTAGAGAAAGGGCCATTGCTGTCTTGTTTGATGCAAATCCAGCGAACTGAACTATGGTTGGGCTATAATACATTACAGTATTGATGCCTGAAAATTGCTGAGCCACCTGAACAGTCACACCAGCATAGAGTCCCCTTCGAACTACAACATTGCTCAAAGCACCCTTCACCTTTTGTATCAGATTATCCCCAATTGCATGCTCATCAGCCTTTTCAGTTTCCACAGAGATTCTCAAGGCAGTCAACTCATCTTCAACTTCGTCAGCAGGATAAATTTTCTCTAGGATGGACCTGGACTCTTCTACCTTATTCTAAACATCAACAACAATATATGGTTATTATTATTATACTTGGTCAGCAGCATAATTTTTTTCTAGGATGGACTTAGACTTTCTAGCTTATTCTAAAGGTCAACAACAATATATGGTTTATTGTTATTATACTTGGTCAGCAGGATAAATTTTTTGTAGGATGGACCTGGACTCTTCTACCTTATTCTAAACATCAACAACAATACATGCTTAATATAATTATTGCAAAAATCTAGCAAGAATTCCTTCAACAAAAATTTTCTGATTGCATCAATAGGGTCAAGATTTAACCTGTCTGTAAAGCCATCTAGGAGACTCAGGAAGTGACAGCATCAAGAAAAATTGAACCACGGCAGGGAGTCCAGCCACTCCAAGCATCCAACGCCAGGTTCCAGGGGCCTGAAACACAATAATAATATTGATTGTGAAAATTTTTGTTTGTCATTGGAGAGATACGGAGGAGTCCCATCAAACATTCCTATATTTACACTTAAACTTAAGAGAATAAGAGAAGATAAATTTTCAATTGTAGCCATTATTATCTCTTACATGAGTGAAGGCCAGATTGATTAGATAAGACAGAAACTGCCCTCCTGTAATTAGCAAACCATTGGTGCTAACAAGTGCACCTCGGATTCTAGCAGGGGAAGCTTCTGAAATATAAAGAGGTGCTGTCATTGAAGCCATTCCGACTCCAAAACCAACAAAAATTCTTCCAACAATAATCATCCACGGAGCTGGAGAGAGAGCCATAACTATGGCACCCACAAAGAAAAGAACATCAGCAACCAAAATTGATAGTTTTCTTCCGAATCTGTCATTTATCCATCCTCCAAATGCAGCTCCAATAATAGCACCTGCTACAGCCATACTCACAATGGTTTCCTGCAAATCAACATGTTAAAACATTGGAACGATAAGGAAATCCGAAATATGAACATTCTTTTCTTTGTCCCTCCTGATTTCATTTCCGTAAACATGAAAGGAGATGGTAACGACTATCTAACCTGTAGCCATGTTTTCCTGTCAACTTCTGGAAAGTCCTCACGAATATAAAGTAGGGCACCAGAAATTACTCCTGTACTTCAACAATGATCATATATTAGTAAAATAAGACATGTTTCCTTGAGTGACTAACATCATTTATGTTGTAGATTAACACACATACTGGTACCTGTGTCATAACCAAATAGGAACCCTCCAATCCCCGCTGACAGTGCAAGCCTCATAATGTAAGGAGTCTTCCATGTTGTCTTCCAGCATTCAGCAAACTGTGTCTTATCTGTTTTCGAGATGCCACCTTCCACCATTTTGTCATTACAGGCAAACTGAAATTTCTTTTGTTGAAAGTTATGAATTATCTATCCAAAGAAGCATTCAAATTCAAACAAACCACAGAGAAATAGGGACAGAAAGAGTTCAGAGTTGGAATAGAAATCCTTTCTGATTGATTGCCAAATCCCATTTAGAACTATACATATGGATATTCCAGCGACATTTTTCCTGTGAATTGAATTCAGAGATGGCATCAAAATTATATAAAAAAGAGAAGCAACAACATTGAAATTGACTATCTTTCTTATTTCCAGATCAAGTTTTAATAAAATTAACTTAGTACCATGTAATTAATTAAGCTTTGAACGTGTTGCTATTTCCATAACAAAAACTTTGAAGCAGCGAAAGTTAAGATACTCAAAAGATAAGCCACAACAAATCGTCAGGTTAACCATTCTTATTCATGCAAATCGTAATCGTTTGGATGATGATAAAATTCAATTATTCAAAAATAAAACTATTATGTGGCATTATCCAAAGAAATGGGATAAACCAAACAGCTAATCAGGATTAATCCGCAATTAGTTCAAATATGGGTGTCGCGACCTTCTTCTTTGACCAAGCCGTATAAGGAAACTGATTCTTCGGACTCTTCAGTAGGATTTTATGTTAAGTGGCACGTTGGGCCGCGATTTACAATATTAATCCATTGCTCCGAAATGTTTGGGCACGATAAGATAGCTTTGAGGGAAAATTTTTTGAAGATTTGCATGTTTTTGGATAAAGGAAATAATAGTAAAATACATGAGATATGTTCGAATTATTAATTTTTAAAATTTAATTTTAATAGAAAACTTCATGTTCATGAGCTTTTAATGAATTTTACATCTGTATAGATAGATGAACGCTATTTAGTTACTTAAAGCTTGAACGTTTCCGAGTTCTAATACTTTTGTTTTTTAGGAAACGTATTCATTTATTAAGAGTCCACTAGGACAACCTTTAAAATAGTTACTCCTTAATCCTCAATATTGTACCAAATATCAACTTTCATTTCTAATCATATTGATTGTAGAAAATGGAAACCAGCAAACAGATTATACTATTTTCATGTATGAATGTGTGTTAATGCCATACATTGCCATCTAAAAGTGTTTGGATATACAAGTAACACAGTCCATAAAAGTATAGGTAGAAGGTTACCAAATGAATGTGTCACAGATCTGACTCTACAGAAGCTGATAATTCAATGAAGATTTGTACTTGCAGAAAGATTAATCTCCTTAGTCTTTGAGTTTGAGGTTTCTTAATTCTCTACTAAATGACTCCAAATTGTTTTCTTTCTTTATGTAGCAGATATTGACAGACTGCTGGAACGATTTGGAAGATAAACCGATGTGGAAAGCGATCCCCACCATCTTTTTCTACTGTTCCATTGTCTCAATTTAACTCTTTATTACTATATTTAGAGTAGTAAGAGTAGTTCTTTTGAGGTTCAACACGTTTTTCTCCATTGGTCATCCAGTTTAAGTTATGATAAATATAGCAGTCTTTGTAAAGTGGTTTTTTTTTTTTTTTTTTGAGATCACATATGCTAAAGTCATTGCTTTTTTGAGCTCTTCTCAAAGATTTTGATGCGAATCAGCATTTCTAACAAATTAAGTTACATACTTTGATCGGAAAATCTGATAAACTCCTAAAACAAACTACTTCTGCGTCTATTAATTGTCTTGGTTTAATAATAATTATTCCCTACTTTCACCAAAAAGAATCTGTTAAGCTGTGAAGTTCTGTATTCACTGAACAGTATAGCAGCGAATCTGATAATAAGTAAAAGGCTTTTAAATATTGCATATTGCATGATCTATTTTTAAACACAAAAAGAAAATGCATATATTGAGCAATCGAATTTGTAGAAACTGTAACTTACGATTAAAAAAATTGTTTGTTAGTTTTTTTTTTTGTTAAATTATGCATACAACAAAAAGTTATCATTTTTGTTGTTTGATTGTACTTTAGAATAGTAAAGAACAAAGTCATTCCTGATTTCATGACTACCAATATCCCTCAGTGTTCATCATATAAATTCACCCAATAACTAACCAATAATCTAGCAAGATTTTATGTTTTGGAATAGTAGGAACAGATCCTGCTCATCTGCCAACATAACAGAAGCGAGCAGCAGAGTAAAATGGAAGGCCTAAATGCCACGTAGAATTACGAGATCAAAAGGCCAGTAGCAGTAGGCAGAATTATTGATTTCAGAGTTTGCCTGGAGCTGGAGAAATACAGATTTTTCATTTTTCATTAGACAAGGCCCAATTCAAACACATCCTACAATAAGAAAATCCCAAATGCAGCACCATGATTGACAGAATGGTGTAGCTCCCGACACCTAAACTATTGGTATTCCAATATCTCATCAAACCGTCGGCAACCTATTTTACTAAGTTGATTACCATGCACGCCCTGAACTTTTGATCATGCCCCTTCCTTTTCAATTATTTACTCTGACATTTTCTCCGTATCAAACAGTCTAATGTTGTCAGCACAAAGTTTAAAATTTATATAATCACATATATAGATCCTATCTCTGTTCTTGATGGTTTAACTACAATGAATGCAACAGATAAAAGAAATCTTTCGTACTGATTTTCGTGTTCAAAACGTCAAAACTACGAATGGTGGTCCTGCTATTTTTGGAGAGCTAAAGATTGCATTTAACCACGTGGAAGTGGCCAATTAGCTAGCTGCTTCAGCAGAAGCAGCAGCTGAAGTTCGTGCATCTAGGCAAATAAAAGTGGCAATGGCAGCGACACAGTATGGGGTGTGGGTCCTGCTTCTCTGTGGCTGCAGCACCTAACTGCAAGGCCGCCGAATCCATCCGCTGCATTCGATTAATTTCAAGAAGGTTGGCGACTGCATCATGCCACAACCCACAAGCTTAGTTTTGGTGTAGACAAGGCACTGCAAGATGATAAATGTTGGCTGAATATAGCTTTACTCTAGCCTTCTGTGGCCCGTATCATTTAAAAACATGTCAGCAATATAGGCCGTAACATAATCTGTTTTATGTGAAAAGTTCAAATAAAAAAGAACATATATTCCTCCATTATCACTTGGACTTGATGGATATCCCTTAGCTTAGGCCGTGGACTCAAACATCCCTTGTTTCATTTCAACTATAGTTTTTGCATATGGTTCTCCCACAACTAGAACATTGGAAAGCAATTTTTTATGCAAAATCATTCAAAGCGCCGGACTAGTAGATATTCCTCTCAATGTCCTTGACATTTCTTATCTCTTTGAGTTGTCAGAATTTAAATGGTTCATATTCTATTAAACAAATCAAACTACTTGATTTATTTTTTTATTAAGTTGACATGTACGATTTCAATTCGTACAATAATTTGGGTACAATTGTTACCAGACACAATTTTTATGACAAGATGTAACTTGCCACATGGATTAGTATCTTTCACTTCTATCCTCTCTGTTTTTGAAGCATCTTTTTCCATTAAGAAAGCGAAAATAGAAATAAAGCAGTACTAAATTTTTATATGGTTTGGAAAAGTCTGGGTCCATAGTCCAAGGAAGGAAAAATAAGCCCAAAAATGAGCCCAGGAACTTAATGGGAGGCTAAACTGGTCTGGTAGGAAGAGTAAATGCGAATCTGGGATTGTCTCTGCGCTCCGTCGTCTACTTGGAAAAGCCTAAGCCTCATTATTTCTCACACAAAGAACAACCGTTTAATCCTTTGATTTTTGTTCTCTAAGGCATTAACATTAGCAAATCATTGCATTCTTTTTGTATCAGATCCATTCTTAACCCTTTAATTTGATTGTAATTCTGAGAGAGAACGAAGGGTGCAGGGACCCTCTGAATTCTTCTTCTTATAGCTGGTGAGTGCAATGAAACACGATTTCTTTCTTTGAATTTTTAGACCCTTAATTTTGTTTATTTGATGTGTTTATGAATTTGATTTACGAATTGGGTTTCTATTTTACTTGTTTCTGGATAATTCGTCAATGCCGATTTCTCAATCACATTTTTGTTTTTTGTTTTATATAATATATATAAACAATTTATTTTGTATGATATTGCTAATATTTATTTCGTTAATAACTTAGATGCTAGTGATTCTATACGTGATTAATTATATTATCATTTCGCCCAATAATGCTTGAAGTAGTGTTTTTAACTGACATTTACAAGTTCGATAATATGGAAATCGAATTTTATATCTGTATATCTTGATTAGAATGGTTTTGGGCTTTGGGTTTTTTTTTTTTTTTTTAATGTCCATAGTTAAAAAGCGGTTCAATATGTGAACTTGGTTGAGTCACTTGTTCTGGTGGTATTTGTGTCAACTTCGAATTATATAAAATTTGATGGTAGTTCGCTTGTTGATTTAAGTTTCTAATGGCATCTCTTTGATGGGAAACTGAACCTTGCATGTCATAATTTGATCTCTCTTTTTCACGATGCAGATACTGTACTTTGTGGTGAAGAGCATATCTTAATTTCTTACTCTTTGATTGTTGGAATTGATTTACCTGGATTTATAGTTTATCTCGTGGTCAGGGTTTACTAGTTTTTCCAATTTCAGTGAAGTATGTGGGGTAAAATTTTTGAATCTGTAATTTTAACTCTTTAAAAGACTCACCTATAAAGAAATAAATAGAAAGAGAAAAAGAAAGAAACCCTTTTAAAGACTGAGTTTTCAGCATCTTTCATAATTAAGACAAAGAAAAAGACAAAAAAACCTTATTAACAGCACGCCACAGTTAAAACTGAAAGTACGAGGCTTTGTTTATATGTGAAGTTCTATATTTTTTCTGCATGGTGGTCCAGAGGTAATGTTCAAAAGCAATCCTATTGAACGATTATCTGTTATCTTGTAAAGTCTAGTGCATAGTTCATGCATATTGCGATACTATCAAGCATCTTATATTTGTAGTTGGAGATGATCTGTTACATCATTGATTTCTTGAAGGTCTTCTTAGCTATAGAAATTTTGTTCAAAGAATTTTATCAGTTCTTAACCTTCCAATTCTGGCCTCTATCTTTTTCTTTTTTTTTTTTTTTTATTTAATGTTGCTTATATCTGCAATTTTTAAAGTTCATACAAAAGTCAATATGATGTTTTACTGGTTAAGAGGCAAAATGGAACATAGGAATCTTAAGTGCATTATTATTTGGAATAAATTCGTTGGCTTGTTGTGTGAGATGTGTTTTTAGTTCCAATCCATTATTTGCATATTTTATTCGGTCTTGTTTGAGACTGCTAATTTGGCATTTATGAGGTTTTCTGTATCTTCTAAAGCAACTTGTCATGAAAATGTATTTTGCACTAATGATCTGACTTTTATCATATGTTCTTGTTTTGAGCTTCAAAGATCTAAGTGGTAGATGGAACTTAAGTGAGATATTCATGATCCAGGCAAGGTGGCAGGAAGTTCTAAGGAGGGATCAAGGTACTGTTCCTTGCCTTCTAAGGATTATATTAATATATTATCACATGTTGCACTTAATCAGTTAACTATTTTACACTTTAAATTCAGATAAAAAATTTACTTATCATGAATATTTTAGCTGTACACTGTTATTTTACTCTAAACCATGGCAATTTTTATTTTTATTTATGCTGATTGATTATACTTGAGGATCCTTCTCTTCTTACTAGTTGTTGGACCCAGTTGCAGCATATGCTAGTGGTTTATCTCTCTATTTTGTGTTGTCACTGCAGGGAACTTAACATATTCATTTGGAAGGGGTCATAAAGCACTCAGGGTAGATTCGCCTACGTTGCAGGATGCAGAGAATGGAGTAGAAGTTGTTCCTTTTTTATTCAATTGACCCAATATTTGCTTCACAAGATAGGTATTTTCTCAGATTCTGCATATAAGCAATTGTGAAGTGGCACCTTTGTACTTTTTATGCCTTCCCTGCCTTTCAAGTTTCCTTTTCCAGCTGCCTTTGTTCTTTTCTTCTCTAAACCTGTTTCTGTTCTTGAATAGGATAAGGTTGGTGTTTCTTAGGTGATAATTCTAGTCTTAGAAAAGAAACTGAATGCTGATTTTTATTCATTGTTGATATGGTTTTATAGAGTGACTATCCTTGGAAGGTTGGAAAATGGCTTATGTTTCAGAAGAAGAGAAAACTGAGGATTACCTTTTCAAGATTGTACTGATTGGTGATTCAGCTGTTGGGAAATCAAATTTACTTGCAAGATTTGCTAGGGATGAGTTCTACCCTAATTCAAAGTCCACCATAGGAGTAGAGTTTCAAACCCAGAAGATGGATATAAATGGGAAGGAAATTAAGGCACAGATTTGGGATACTGCTGGTCAGGAGCGCTTCAGGGCTGTTACATCTGCATATTACCGAGGTGCAGTTGGAGCTCTCCTTGTGTATGATATCAGCAGACGACAGACTTTTGATAGCATTGGCAGATGGCTAAATGAACTTCACAGTAAGAATGAAGATGATCTTGTCTTTTCTTTATTACACTGATGAAACGATGATGAACTTGTCTTTTCTTTATTACACTGATGATTCATGTGGAAACTTTCTCGATGAGAATCTCTTTTGTATGATTTATCCAACTTCACGAGTCCAAGATAGGTTAATTTTATCTTGTTTCCAAAGTGACTGTTAGCCATATTATGGCAAATTTTAGTAACTAGATTGGTGCTTCCTTTCCAAGCCTTTCTTGCAAATATTATGGATTTTTTGACCCTTGATGGCTAAAGATTGACTTTGTGCTTTGTCATTTTGAACAGCTCACTCTGACATGAATGTAGTCACCATTTTAGTAGGCAACAAGTCAGATCTCAGGGATGCCAGGGAAGTATCCACTGCTGAAGGAAAGGCCTTGGCAGAGGCACAGGGTTTGTTTTTCATGGAGACTTCTGCCCTTGATTCCTCGAATGTAGCAGCTGCTTTTCAGACAGTCGTTAAAGAGATCTACAACATATTGAGCCGGAAAGTTATGATATCTCATGAGCTCAAGAAGCAGGATGCTTCATTGAATGGGAAGACTGTGGTTTTACAAGGGGATGACAACCAAGAATCTGATATGGAGGCAAAAAAGGGTGGGTGTTGTTCATCCTGACGCTTCAGAAAATATAATCGTCTGCTCTAGTCCGTTATCTGGTTCTCCAGCTTGAAATTTCCACTGAAGTTCCTGATATTTCTTCTTCTCCATGTGCTCATTTCTTGATGCCGTTAAAATGATTATTTGAATAACATTTGTTTTACTTGTTCATGGCTATCTTATGGTGGCTGAAGAAGAGACTCTATGGATTAGCTAATGTAAATGAACTCAATGTGGGGATTGAAAGGGAAAAAGAAAATCAAATGATATTTTTTTTCGCATTTCAAACATATTTTCTTTATTTTGTCTAGTCGTGGTTATACTCAAATGTTGAGAAGTTGAAGACTTTGATTTCCCGTTTTTCGCCTCCCCATCTGTCTTCCTAATAATACTCCAATTACCTGGAAGCTATATGTTTTTCTGCTGTGACGTAATCCGATGCGACTGTGATTTACATATTCAAAGGTAAACCCTGTCCTATTTCCTACGACAATCACTCATTCGCGGATTATGCTCTTGGTAAGGCCTATTTTTTAAAGCATGGAAGTTCTAAAACAAAATAGTATGATAAAAGTACCGCAAGGAAGGATACAAACAAAGTATGGGATTGCTAGGAAAAATAGGGACGAACATCAGTCAACCATGTCTCGGTTGTTATTAGCGGTGCAGCAATGGTGCTGTTTTTTTACTGCTGTCAAATCTTCTGCATCTACAACGGTGGGATTAATTTTTTTAATTTAAGTTGACAGTTCCAAAGACAACTGTGCCTGAATCAAGGGTACAACTAGGGGAGCTTTCAATTTGTACAAGCATGCGGGGCACAGTGGGTACTAAATATCCACCATTATAAAGTTGCCTTTTTATTTTGTATGATTTATGAAGTCATGACCACATAAATAAATTAGTTGTACAACATCATTACAGTTTATAGAATTCCTGCAAGAGATAATTGCGAAGAACATTCTAAAATTCACCCCCTTGGTCAATTGGGGATAGTTCTAAAATCCATTGATGTATATGCTCTAAACTTGGCTAGGCTTACATTGTGGCTCAAAAACTCGCCTCCTCAGTAGTTGGACGCCTCAAGAAATACCGTAAACTATTAGCAAGAACCTGCCAGATTTCATATAGCAAAACTTCATGATCACAAAGTTGGCAACAGCTTATCATGTCTTTAAAAAAGATGCCCAAAGAAAGCAATTAGGATAAATGCACCACCTAAATGATTAATACTATACAAACTCTACTTTGATGTTCTTCAGAAAACCGACATTTCTGTCTAGCATGTGGAATTTGGGTTAGCATGTGGACTATGACTCATTGAAGTTTTAGGTCAGACTGGAACTCGTTTCACAGGGGCTAAATTTTTTTTTCTATTGCTCTTTACCTGCTGCAGAGGCTTGATAATCGCTTTACCCTTGTAGCTGACATGAAACTTTGCCTTTGCCAACAATCCCTAGGTTGCAAAGGTAAAAAGTAGAGAGAAAATTAATACCATTGGGCTATTGGCAATTCTTCAAAAAAAAAAAAAAACGAAAAAGAAATGTGAATATAATCACCATGTCCTAGATGACAAAAAACTAAAAAACAAAAAACAAAAGGAATAAACGATTACCTCAGTGTCAAACTCCCCAGACTCAACAGCAATGCTGATGTCGGTAATAATTTTTACAAGATCCACCAACAACCCTGGGCGATCAGCTGTCTCCACATATAGCAAGCTGAACCAAATTTATTTATAAAATAAATTATATGGAAAATTAAAACAACTAAAAGCCAAAACATATCATCCCTTTCATTTACATTCAACAAACCAAAATCATCACGCATGGGAGGCAACTAGCAAAATTTTCAACACCGGGCCAAGACTTTAGTCTTAAACTATCAAAATTACATGGGGGCAGGAATTGTATTGTATAACACTATAAGCCCCGGCATTTAGAGAGAGACCACAGCATCCATTACCTACGGTCTGGACCATCATCATCAACTCGTATGTGGGTTGCAATATCCACATCAACCTTGAGAATTCCAGCAAAGCAAAATTTGAGTCAAGACTGATGTAAGATATCATGCTCAGCTCAATAATTGATAAACAATTTGTAACATTTATGACTAGTTGCAACAGTCTCAGTAGCAAGCATGAAAAGTATCCAACTGAAATTGCAACAAATGTCAATATACAGTGTTCTTGTCACTGCAGAAAGCTTGTTTCAACAAACATTCAACATGGGAAAATGCCTGAACTCACCTGGTGAGAAGAAAAGATAAACTTTGCAAGAGGAATACCTTTTCTTTTGGTGGCTCAACACCGAAGGTTGCACCCATTGCTAACTTGGAACTTGATTCCTGGACCCCAAATTAACATGTCAATAGGCTTTTACAAAGAGATTCCTCATCAAGAATAGGGAAGAGAAGAGGCGATTACTGGATGATACTCAAGCAAGTTGTTTATAATCGTCAATCGTATTGCCTCAAGCAGTTCCGGGTCTTCAACTTTCCTTCCAGTATTACTACAGGAAAGCACCACCACTATGTAAGTAAAATTGCATTTAAAATAGCTGTTACAACTTACAACAACTGATACATAACATTCAATTTTCATCTGAGTGTGTTTTGTTAACTGCATTGAATTTCCAAAGTTTTTTTGACGGGCCAAAAGAAAAAAATCCAAACTTGGACTTACCCCATCTGAGTGTATGTACTTCATGAATCAGATAAAGAGATTATAATTGGTTTGCCACAATAACAAGATTTTAGTTCAAGGGAAACGAAGTTCTATACTTCTGCCCAATAATTCTAGCAAAATGGTGATCTAAACTTTTGAAGATTCAAAACCTATTAAAAGGCATAATTACACCTGCTTGCTCTCCTTGAAAGATGTAATCTGTTATGCTTATCATACCATTGTCACATTTGAGTTATTTACAGTATGTACAATTACAGCTTTAATCACTTCTGATGTTTCTAGAGGTATATCAGGTATTTTCAATGTCACTTAAAAATAATCCTAGCCAACAATTATAACTAATTATCATTTTTGTAAAAAAAAAAAAAAAATTACTTGACAACGGACTTATGCTGGATTAGACGAGTATTAACCACAAACAAGAAAAAAAATTACACTCATTAACTGCACAGATAGCTAAATGTTACAGAAAATATCAACTGCTAGAAAGGCATACAACTTACGCCTTAGTGATGGCAAACTTATTATGCTTCCCAGATGAATCCAGGTAGACATTTGCCTTTGTAACATTCAACCCAAGATTTTTAAGTGCATTCATCTGCAACTTGTTCACGAATAGTTATATGATACAAAAAAAGTCTTATCATACAAAGGTGACAATTCAAAATTTCATATAGAAAGCAAAATATAGATGTTCTAAAGCAGTAAGTAAATGGATTTATACGGTATCCAGAAGAGCTCCAAGGCGATTGCCAAAGGTTATTTCCACTACAGTGGCGTCTGGATCAGAGTCTTGGTCAATTATAACTTTGGGGGTTGGAACCGTATCAGTGTCGTGGAAACTTCCATCATTCTTCAAACATATAACCATAAGAAATGGTACTTTAGCCAGTTAAACATAATTAAAAATTAATTTTCATTAAAAAAATCAACCAAATATATTATTGCTCTTCCACACCTCCACAGCTGTGCCTGATGGTGTTGCTCGTTGAATGAATCTCGTCATTGAAGATGACATTCTGACACTGTTATGATTAAGAGTGAAGACGTAGTTTAGTAAGAGATTAGGCATCAAGATACTATAAAACCATTAAACAATGTTAGCAAGTGCAAAATCCAGTTGAAGAGTAACAGTAGTAAATTGAAGAAACCTTTAGATAGAGTGATTTTTACAATAAAATTGCAGCCAAAGCTAGACAAACTGCAGTGTGCTTTAATCAGTTGGCACAGATGAAATAGACAAGCCAATTTAAACTAGTCTCAGCTAATTAAAGAGTCTGGCGTGCCTTAAATTGCCATATCTGATTCAACTCCTAACAAAATCACTCATTTGTTCAACTTGGAGACAGACACCGTTAAGATGCACAAAATCTAGAATAAGGAGCTAATCATATATGTTTGTAAATTTATTTATTCAATTCAGTTGAAATTAACTACATGATTGAATGAGATTATCCAATGGATTTACAATTGCATTAAATTTTTTGCTTCAAGCAGCATAAAAGATCATCCTAAAGAGTTTCCAAATCAACAATTTCAGCACCCAATAAAGAAAAAACAAAATTTAACAGTGAATTAGATTACAGAAAGGTACCTTCTTTTCTCAAAAATGTTAGGTGGTTTGTTGACAAAGGCAGCAGGCCAAGAATGGTTTTTGAGTTCAAAGACAGGAATGTTGTTAGTTTTGCTGCTAAAGTATACTACACAATTAGCAGCAGAAGCCATAGCCACAGCCACAGCCATTAGAATAAAAGAATAGAGCTAGCTATCTAGCTGCTATAGTTATGGAAAATAAGGGAAAAGGAAGAGAAGAGAGGAGGGGATGAACAAAAGAAGCAGCAAAACCAAAGAAGAATGTTCAAGTGAGAAGGTTCAAGAAATGAAAGTGGGCTCCCGTTTTATCCGCCATGAGATTGAGATAGGGAAAGAGAACTCTCATTTATTTTGCTCCTCTCTTTGAATCAGTTACAACCCAATCCTTATTCCTTCCTGCATATTATCTCCAACGTTTCTCTTGTCCGTAAGATTTATTGGGTTTTGAGTAATATTTTCATTTATCTAAAAAAATAATTAAGATGTATTTGGCTTCCATATTGTATATACCATTAAAGCGGATATTCGCATAAATGATGGATATCCAAACAAGAGTTTTTGTTTCGCCGATATTCTCCATATATTTTTATACTACCTACAGCTCTAGTGCGTGGTATTTTTTGAGAGTGAAAATTTACTATTATATATATATATTTTTTTTTTTCTTTTTCATACAATCTGCCATTTCTTTTCATCCAAATCATTTAAATATAAGCACCCCGACAAATTATGAAAATGATAAAAAATAATGTATCACACCTTAACTGCTACCTTGTAAACCAACCTCCATTGACTTTAGAAATATCATAAATTTGAAGAATCTTATCCCACGCTTGTTTACTAATAGCACGAGAAGAATGCCCTAAATAAATGTTGCGGAAGCGACAAGAAAATTTTAAAGCCTGGTATGTCCCAACTAGTTGACACCTAAGCACGTAACTAAGTTTAAGGATATTCTGTTTACACCTTTTAAAATTCTCTTCACACTTCAATATTTTTCTGTCAAAAATACTCATATATAAAATATCTTATATATCTTTTAGTAAATTACAATTTTAACATTATACACCTATTTACATTTCCTTTCTTTTCTTCTTCTTTATTCCTTCTTCCCGAGATAAAAAAAAAAAACTTTAAATCTTAGAAACAAACCATAAAATTTTGTAACATTTATTAAATTCTGTAAAAATAGATAGCCAAATGAGAAACAAAATTGAAAGAAATCCATTTTTGGCAATGCAACACTGTTATCGGAAGTACACATTTGAAAATCATTTTGCATTACCAAATATCTATTTTCATAAACATTAAAATTGCTAAGTAATGGCATTATTATTTTTGCTTCCTAATGGTATTATTATAATTTTTTAACATCTTGTAATATGTAGATCAATTTAGGAATTGTATTGATATAATGGAATCAATCACTAGAAAATTTAGATGTCAAATATGATTGCATGAATTCATTTACTATGAAAGAGTTAAAATTATGTTTTTGAGGTAATTTGTTATGGAATGCATAAAATGTTAGTTTATATAGACGTAATAAGCTAAATATGTTGTGCAAGTATTTAGTAATAAAAAAGCTTTGATTTCATGGGTTAGGTAAGTTAAAAAAGATAATAGTTTTATGATTGTGATTAAAAACTCTGAATTGGGAGTCCCGGGAAAACCTAGAATAAGATTGGCATGCGAATGAAGTGGAAAGTTTAGGTAGTAAAAGAATAAGGGCAATGTAAAAGGAATGTATAAAAAAGTATGGTTGCCCATTTTAGTTATATGTGATTAACTTGGCAATAGATTATTAGTGGGGTATGAAAGTAGTTTGTAAATTTCACAATCATCTACTAACAAAACAATTAGAGGGATATTCATTTATAGGTCGATTATCTGAAAAAGAAAAAAGAATAGTTGCTGATATGTCAAACAGTATAATTAGACCCAAAAACATACTGTTGACAATAAAATAACATAATGAGAAGAATGTCAGCACTATGAAGACAATGTATAAGGAATGTTAAAGATATAGATATGTTAAAAAAACTGGTAGATCACAAATGCAACAACTCTAAAAGAAGTTGATTGATTGTAAATATCTAGAATGACATGAGACTAATGAGTCGAATGATTGTGTGAAAGACTTATTCTGCATTCATCATACTGGTGTAGATTTATTGCAGGCCTTTCTAAATATCCTGATCATGGATTCCACCTATAAAAAGAAATAGATATTGTCTATCATTTCTTGAAATTGTTGGTGTGACTTCCACTGAGATGACCTTTTCGTTACATTTGTGTGCATAGAGGCTGAGTGTTTTGAGAACTATAGTTGGGCACTGGATAAATAAAAAAAATTTAATGCTTGTTATTATATTTTCTATTGCATTGTTGCTTATTAAGATTTGGCATTGATGAATGCAAAAGAGATTGTGTTTCTCAGCATGGTAAATCTTCTGTGCAAATTGCATATATCAAGAAATGTACTTGCAAATTGTAAGAAGTTTTTAAGTAAAAGGATAAATGTGAGGCATTCGTGTTAGGTTATAGTGTGCTTGGGTTTTTTTTTTTTTACTGATGCTGAGTACAAAAGGCATTTAAGTTCATAGAAAATTGATTACCAAACTTATTTGGGTGCAATCAAGTATGTAAAAGAGTAGTGGTTAACAAAATATAATGACAGATTTATTGTTCTTTGGACAAATAGAATAATGCACTTTAGTAATATCATAACAAATATGTATGATTTATGTTGCATTTTTAAGATTATTTATGGTTTAAGGTTTCATAACAAAATATTAATATACCTTTATTAATTTATTTAAGGTTGAGAATGCACATGTAAAATTAAAAAAACACCTTGGATCATCTCAACAGGATTTTAAATCATCATGGAAGATAATTAACTCATTTATTGAGCTTAAACTGACAAAGATCAAGGTTTCATTTAAGAAAAATCTTACAGTTGTCAAGTATAATTACAAGACGTCATTATTTAAAGAGTTACAAAATTTGGTATCAAGAGCACACTCAATATGATATTGATAAAGGCTAAGTAAGCTAATCATGTTAAGATTGACAAAAATGCTTTTAGTTGCGTGGTTAGAAGCATGCATAGATTGCCTTGTACTCATGAAATTGCATAACATATAACGATGAGAAATTCAATTTCTTTATTTAAAATGCATCTTCGTTGAAAAATGTTGGATTTAATGAAGAGTCAAGTTAATGATATCTCTAAAGAGTTGACCATTGTATGAGAGGTTGATTGAAGCATAAAATGCATCAACAAATGAATGAATGGGATAAATTAGTCATGAAAAAAAAAGTTACGAGAACTTGATGATCTATCAACAACTGTCTTGATTCCACCATTAGAGATGGCTAAGACAAATGGTCAGAGAGGTATAAAAGCAGATACCTTTACACGACGAACCCATCACATTATAAGATTATGTTATTTGCTTAAAATAGTACATCACCACTAATTACTACAAATTCAGTGCAAACGATGACATAAATTGCTAAACTTCATATTCAGCATCCCTATAGTTTACGAAAAATGCAATATTTGAATAGTTTACCAGTTGAGTTACATCCATATATACAAAAGACCATTGATGTTAGGGTAGACAGATATTGTGGTTTTTGTTCTATGCTGTGTTGCTTAAAGTGAGATTAGATGGTTAAGTACAAGTGCAACAAGATTTAATTGAAAAAGCTTAATCGATTTTGAGGCAAATATGTGACTTGTATGAATCTATAGAGTGTGTTAAGAAATTGTTAAAAACTTTATTGTGTTTTGACACTTTTATCTTATACGATAAGTGGATGACCTTACTTGGTATAAGTCATTTGATTGCCTCATGATATAATATCGTGCTAATCAACATCAATTTTAAATAGTACGTAACATATCTTCTTGTTAAATCTATACCACCTACACTATTGGAGTATAAAGTCATTATAATTGGATTTGTTAATAATTGTCATTTTATGTAGGTATTGCTAATTAATGTTGATATTTATTGTTTATATTATTGAAAATGATATTATATTTATTATAATTATGCTCGAAGGTAAAAGATTTCATATATATCTCGCATAAAGGATTTAAAGTTATTGTTTAGTATAAATTTTGATATGGTCACTCAAGAAATAATACACATTAATTGATTATTTATAACACTTATTTAGCATATTAATGTATATGTTAACAGTTTTTATTAATATTGTACATATATTGAACATGTTATCTAATGGATGTGTTATATTGAATAGGTAATCTAAAGGATGTTTTATAAATACAACATAATATAATGGCTATTTTATAATCATACTTTACTAAATAAAAATAATAAAACTACAAAATCACTACCCTACTCTATAGTATAAATCCCCTACTCCCTTTTCTTTAGCTTTTTGGACAAAAAATAGACACATCATGGACGAGCGGGCTCTATTATTGTTGATGCAGTCAATGTGGAACTCTCTAGCAAGGTTGGTATTATTATCGACATAATAGGGGAAAGTTAGTGGGCAAAGCAGATGTAGTCTTCACTATTGAGAGTGGGGACAAAAAGGCACGAATGGCCTGGGTAGTGTAGGTATCGAAGGTGTCAATGATGGGATTAGGGATGAAATGGGCATGAGTGACTTGGACAGTACATGTATCAATCTGATGGTTTAGATTAAATGGGCAAAGGCGATTTGAATGCCTAAAATGATGGTATAAGAGTTGATGTCTAATGCAATACTGTCGATCTTGACTAATTATTATTGCTTAGTACAGTTGATGACTTAGACAATATAACATGTGCTTTGATAATTACGTCTCTCCAAACATTGACACTACTATAATTCATCGGATAAAACATGCTTAAGAACAGACAAAGCGATTGAGCTCCACTATAAAATATTAATAAGGTAATCACTATTGATAACATATAATTAAAATTAACCAAGCAATCAATAACCATAAATCATATAGTTTATGACTTATAGTATCACTAATAGGTGCACTATCGATCTCCTGAGATTGAAATTCGGACTTACATTCTAGATTTTGAATTTGACAATATGAAATTGATGCAAACCAAGCATCATAATCTAATAAACACATACTCAATCTCTAACATCTTTAGCCTAAACATTAAGTCAGCACACATACATATCCCATCTCTCCTAATACTAGTTTAAAAAGCTATATACAACATCGTATGTGTTGGATGATGAATCTCGCTCAGCTCAAGACAAGGCCAAAGGGGTCAGAGGAATGATCTGTACAAATTCAAACTGTCGTCGAACTCTATCCGAGTGATATAGCTTTATGATGGCATTGTACTTGATACATACTGTAAAAAATACAACATCATGCAATAGATGTTCTTTTCATCAATCGACATACAGTTCTTAGCACATATTAGATGCCATCAGCACATCCAATCACTTATGTAAGGCTTATAATGTATCAGCACATCCAATACGAGCTTTCCATCATTGAGCACATAATTGATCATCTATGTATGTCAATATACCTACT